ATTTTTACTAACCAATTCAAAAAACTCTTAACTTCTGACTACTAATTGTTAACATTTATTCAATCTCCTCCATCTCCACTTGGTTGCTACCTTTCGCGCGGTCTGTCGGTCTGTCTTCGACTTGTTTTGAATGTATTGTTTTTTGTCCCTTTCTGTCCTGTTTTGTCTTTTTGTCTCTTTTGTTAATCTCATTTTTTCCCCTCTTATTTCAGGCTGTCCCTCCACAAGATTGGTTTTTCTTATCTTCTCGGGTTCTTGCCTTCTTCCTCTCCTGCATTTTCAATTTATTTTAAATCAATTGTAATATATTTGTCTGATTCAAAAAGGAAGTAAATAAATGTTAAATTGAATTGAAATTGAATTGAATATTTAAATGGGATTTACATTCAAAATATTGCAAAATAAGATATGGTATTATAAAGCTAAAATAGCTACATTGGAAATTTCTAGATCTATGAAAACTATATAGAGGTGTAATATGAATATAAAATAGCTCTTAACTATAATAAACTTATAGTACTTATACACCAAGTATATTGCGAGTTATTGTTATTAAAATCATAAAATGCGATAGTGGAAAAATATACTTTGGAAAAAAGAACGTTGACCCATGTTGATTTAATAATAATGATATTGAGATCTTAAAAGTAAAATTGATATTAAAAGCTGTGAACAATAAAATGATTTGTCACTATTGCGAAATATAATACATTTGTAAGATATTGATATTGCAATTTTTAACACATTGTTAGATCCTATTTATATTTAAATGCATACGGTAAATTTGGTAATGAAGAATTATGCAGACATTTTATTGTAAAAGTAGGTTTAAACTTAAAATAAATGCAGATTATTATTATATAGACTTATCTTACTTGACAAATTCTAAAGGTTTTTGTTTAACGTTGTTCCACTTCCTTTCTGCCTTATTTGGGTTGCATGAGTATTCATTTGATATTACTATTTTTACTTCTAATCTAAATAAATTCCAAATGATCTTAGATGTTTGATTAGGTACGTTCACATAAGCTATCGTGATAAAGTTATCATGATCTATACATCATGATAACTTTAGCACGTTAGAGGAAACCGTTCATATAGAAACTGCATCGTGATCTATTTATGCTAATAATGTGCAGTGCTGCATGCAAACCACCGGAAGCACGTCGAATGCCTGCTGGGATCGATCGCGCGAAGGTTTGTTTTTGTGTATGTCGCTCCTGCTGTTTGAAAAGTTGCCCAAGTACTTTACTCCGATTTTACTTTTATTATTGCAAATGTTTGATTCCGCCGACTGTCAGATGCATACCACTAATATGCTTCTAATAATTACTCTGCTAGATTTCGTTAGAAATAGTCAACAGACATTGTAAACGATCAGGGAATTTCGAAAAACAAGGTACCTTCGATATGAACAGCAGACTGGAAATATGGCCGAAGTTTCGTATCTCTCTCATCTAGGCCTCCGCGGTAAAACCGTAAGGCGAAGATTGTGGCGAAAAAAACGAAGCCGTGACTGGTGGGTGAACGTCGTCCCATCATACACAGATAGCGATTTTATCGAAGATTTCAGGTAATTTCAAACCGGGTTTCAAGTAAATACACCGGTTGGGCCCATCGTCGGCACCACTATATGTCTATGTTGTAGTAAGGCCTAAGCCTATTGTTAATTGAATGCTAGGCCCCTACTCTCTTTTTTCAAGGCCTAGATTAGGCCTAGGCTTGGCCTAAGCCTAGCGGGAAAATTCCTATACAGATTCTTAGCCTCCTACCTCTTTAGCCTAGACTACGGCCTAGGCTGTTTCCCTTCTCTTACTACTACTACTACCACTTGTTATTTCATCCACCCTAGAGGCTACCTTTTGTATTATTCCCGGCTCTATAATTTTTTTTTCTTCAGCTTCAGCAGACCCTACAAAACAAAACAAAACAAAAAAACAAAACAAAACAAAAAACAAAAACAAAAAAACCCAAATATTGTAAAACATTCCACTACACTTCCTCTCTTCTATTAAACAAAACTGTTAATGAATTAGGTGTGTTTATGTTATTTTTGAAACCTCAATTTCAATAATTCATTTTTTAGGTTGAACAAAGATACATTTAAATACTTTGTGAATGAAATCAAGCCTGCAATTGAGAAAAAACAATGCAACAATGGTTTGACATTCTGCACAGAGTGGCGAGTCGCAATGACGCTGTACAGATTGTCATCTGGACCCTAGAGGCTACCTTTTGTATTATTCCCGGCTCTATAATTTTTTTTTCTTCAGCTTCAGCAGACCCTACAAAACAAAACAAAACAAAAAAACAAAAAACAAAAACAAAAAAACCCAAATATTGTAAAACATTCCACTACACTTCCTCTCTTCTATTAAACAAAACTGTTAATGAATTAGGTGTGTTTATGTTATTTTTGAAACCTCAATTTCAATAATTCATTTTTTAGGTTGAACAAAGATACATTTAAATACTTTGTGAATGAAATCAAGCCTGCAATTGAGAAAAAACAATGCAACAATGGTTTGACATTCTGCACAGTGTGGCGAGTCGCAATGACGCTGTACAGATTGTCATCTGGAATGTCTTTTAAGAAAACTGGTAACCAATTCGGATGTGCTAAATCTACAGCTTGTATTGTCTACCACCAAGTTTGCAAGGCCATCGAGGCATTACTGATGCCAAAGTTCATACAGTTTCCTACAGGACAAGATATCTCAGTAAGCATTGTAGCAAGAATACCGTAAATAATCTAATAATCGCTGTGGCACTTGTAAAAATATTTACAGAAGTGTCGTGCTTCTTGGATAACGGCGTAAACATATTTTAACTACTATATATATATTTTATTTTGATAGTGTTTTCCTAATAAGATGCTGTTTAATAATTAAATTGTGCAACATCTAGACTGAACTGTAAATGGAAACCTTATTTATAAACTCTGTTGTGTGTTGTTATTTTAACACTTTTTACATATAATGCTTTTTGATTTAATTTCAGAAAAATATTGAGAAATTCAAGTTAAAAAATGGCTTTCCGCAAACTGTAGTAGCAATTGACGGAACACACATACCTATAATCGCACCAGAGGAAGAACCCAATGATTATTTTAACAGGCACGATGTGCACTCCATAATATTGCAAGGTGTAGTGGATGCGGAGGGGATGTTTATTGATACTTTTTGTGGGATGCCTGGTAGCGTAAACGACGCTAGGGTTTTTCAAGTTTCCCAGTTCAGTCTTGCTCTTAGAGAAGACAGACTATTTCAGCCTTGTCCTACAGAAATAATTAAAGGTGTGGAAATACCACCATTAATATTAGGTGATGGGGCATACCCTATGTTAGCAAACCTTATGAGACCCTTTGCAGGGAGGAATTCTCTGCCAAGAGAAAAAACCAAGTTTAATCAAAAACTTTCTGGGTGTAGGGTTGTAGTGGAGCAAGCGTTTGGAAGACTCAAAGGAAGGTGTCGAATCCTTCTCAAACGCAATGAGCACCAACTGCAAAATCTACGGCATGTTGTGCAGGCATGCTGCACACTGCATAACATTTGTCAAACAAATGGCGTTCCATATAGGAAAAAATGGAACGAAAAGGTTGATGGCAAGAAGAAAAAAAAACAAGGTTTCAGACAGAACAACTGAATCCCCTAGAGCTGAAAAAATAAGGAATGCTATTGTCGAGCATATTATGGACCAGTAGCACTTTATTTCAAAATTAAATATTTTTCACTACAGTAACCTCTTGTTTATAGAAGGGACGTTTTAGCATGTTTATGCAAATGAGCTGAACTTAGTGCATATTAATTTAGTTAATAATCCATTTTCCTTTGCTGGTATTTCATGTGGTTAGTTTCAGCAATTTTTACCATGTTGTAAATAAATACTTTACAAATATACTTTACAAAATATTAACTGGTAGCAAAGTAAGTTTACTTTTTTATGGTTTAACATAAAAGAAAATTCCAACATATTCAACATGAAACCAGATGAAATTTCTCGAGAATTAACTGGTTTGCCTGTCTTCTTATCAACTGGTACAGTAGTATACAACAGAGGGACACATGAATGACAGGCTGGCCTGTTCTTTGAATTTGTTGACTATCGATACGATTAATTCCGCAATTCAGATGAGCGTTGTTCATGTCGTGAAATTGGTACAGTATAAAACGTCCATTTTACGTTTAGGGGTGTTCGTAAATTGAAAATTTCGTAAAATAGATCGGGTGTCAATTTTCAATACCTAGACCTAGCTATCCCCTGCAATGAGCGCTGATACGATGACGGCGGCCAGGCCTAACCCGAACCGACAGTACAGCAACGTGGTCTATTCGTAAAATCGACGTTTTACTTATGTATAATATAATAATTTGAGTGGACAAGTTGTACAATGTATGTGAATTTAAAAACAATCAAGGATCTATGGCAAACATTCTTCTCCCTCGCCACTCTCACTGCACTCAACATTGGTTGTCACAAAGGGTTTATACACTTTGAACTAAGACAAAAATTGCTACTTCCTTGTTTAAACATTTTATTAAAACACCTCTTTTATAAACACTTTTGGTTATATATAAAATCTTTGGTAAATATGAGTTGCCATGAATGCTGTTATGCTTAAATACTGTACATTACCTGATGTGGAAGGAATTTGTAACATTGCACAACATAAATTTTACCCTGATATGAAAGACAGACTAATGCACCAAACAGTATGAAACAAATATAGTTCTTTTACATGAAGTCTATTAAATGTACAGTATGGTTTTCACTTTTTGGGATTTGCAAACAATACCTACTCTCAAGGCTGTAAGGATAGTGGAAGTGTAATTTAAGTAACTGCAATAACAAACAATTAAAAATAAAAACATCTAAAGTATATAATTAATATAGACATGCTTCCAAGTGCTTCCAACTACTTCGATGGAAAATCATCTGCAAAATATGGTTTTAACTAATTAATGTTTTTTATACTGTATTGTCTATTTGGTTTATACTTTTGCAAGCTGAATATGAAACAATACACTCACCACACGGCAATAACATGGTCAGAATTTAAAAAAAATAAATGTATATAATGGATATGCATGCAATACCTACAACTATCTTCATCCAAAAAACAGAAGAATTAAAAGAAATAAAATGTATACAGTATATATAGACATGCAGTACCTACAAATATATTTGTCTAAAATATATGAGAGAGCTAAGCAAAAGAAGGGATTTAACAAACTACTGTGTTATCCACATGGTTTATATGGGAAAAACAAGATACTGTATAATTTTAGTGGTATGTAATATGCTACAGTAGTGTTGAATTTTCTTTTTTTTTTTTTTCAACACACATGTGTAGTGAGAAAAAAACAAAAACAAACAAACATTTTAAGCCACAACTGGATGTCGTCCCTAAAAAGGTTTTTTACTGTGATTGGTGACTTTGGTATGGCCAATGTTGTTGTTGCTGCTGCCAGTCCAGTTGCTGATGCTTCCACACTTGGTGGTGTTGTTGCTGTGGGTTATGCTGTTGTTGCTGTGAATAATTTGGCTGAACCTGTGGACCCTTCAATGAATTACCAAGAAGGGCAAGCAAGTCTTGTTTGAATTGCCTATCACTATCCATTTGCTTCGCTTGGGAGTCCATTTGTTTTTCTAGTAGCGATACAACTTTATTAGTAGCTTCACTAGTCTGTCTGTGGTATTCTTCCATACGCTTTTCTTGGCGCTCATCAATCTTTTTCCACCTTGTAAAATTGTAATCCTGTAGTTCCTTCATTCTTTTAGTAACGGCAACTAAAGTTCTTTCCTCTTTGTCTTTGCTCTTGACATCTAAAGAGTAGTAATATAAAATTTTAAAAATATGTATTTCAATAAATTCCGCCTCCAGAATACCATAAGCGGTAAACACCACCCCACTCCTTCTGAAAAATAAATGCCCACCCCACTCCTTTGCAGTTCAATAGTTGATTTTTGTTGTTCAATGTGAGTTCTTTTTTTGGAGGATAAGTTATCACATTAGACTGACAAATGCACACAGACTGTACTTGCCTTTATTCTTAGGGGTCCTTGCCTTCCCTCAAATTCAACACTGACGGTGTCTCACAGATGTCCTCTCCCTCAGATAATTTATCAACATCAGGGGGCGGTGTTGGCGACCTCGCTCCGAGTTTCAATTCATCAAGTGTTTCGTCGTCCGGTAAGTATTCATTCTCCCACCCTATAAAAAACATATGTTGCATAGATATCTATGTACAGTATACAATATATTCGGTACAGTTTTCTGTGGGCCTACTGTGCTTAAACACAACATTCCTTCCCAAATAATTTTCTTTTTCAATTCATAATGAGTCAGTGATGGGGGAGGGCAGCAATTTCTTTTTCTTATTTAGAAAAGTTTTGTAAAAAACATCCAGATGGAGGAGAAAATAAAAAATACATTTTTTTTTTTTGGTGGCTGTAGTAAAATAGGATGGTGAAATGCTTCAAAATTATTTAATTACAACAAAGAATACACATCGTACTTGATCTGTCATACTTAAAACAATATCATACCTAATATTCTTCTTTTCTTAATCCCAAAGGAATTACTTGGACAAGACTCAGAATGACTGGAAGAGGCACTGCTGATCTTCCTTTTCTTAGGTAGCACTGACCGAACTGGAATAACTAAAAATATATAAAATGAATTTAAATGAGTAATACAATATTTTCCATGTAATTTACAGACAAATTATAAAAAACAATTAGTACTGTTCTATATTCTCATGCAATCATCAGTTCTTATGTTAGAGTTCCTCTCTTGCCTGTTGGTTAACAATCATTCTAGCAGTGCATTTGAGTATGTATTGTTTTGTTATTGAATGATGTATTTTTTAACAAAATACACATCAACTGTGCTCCCATATCCTTCGTCGATTCACTGGCCGGCTCACCAACACAAGGCATAATAATGTGAACATATTTCTTGCAAATTTTGCAAGTATGTGCAGTTCCACATTCTTTGCCACAGCTTACACACTTTATAGTATCATCTACAAAAGAAATCATTAATATTTTCTGTAAATTCAACTTTATGAATTCTTGTATAACAAGCAAGGGAACACATATACAATAAATTACTACTGCAGTCATGAAATGGTCTTCAGAGTTCAAAGCAACACAAAATGTATCCTAGCAGAAAGCGTCTAATAATATTATGCAAGCATTGGATTTAAAAAAAAAAAAATCATCACAGGAGACATAGACCCTAGACCTAGGTACTACTTTTACTAGCCTACAGGGCTACCCTAGGGCCTTGGTCATAATAAATAAACGCATTGAAATACAACGCAATTCATTGACATTGGAGGTTAATATTACCCAGGTCTAAATTCCAGTTGGGACCAGTTGGAAATGCCAACTGGTCCAACTGGTTTCCAACTGGTCTAACTGGTTTCCAAATGGTCCAACTGCAATTTCAACTGGTACAACTGGAATTTCAACTGGTACAGCTGGTCTTCATAACTGGGTTTAACTGGTCCAATGGTCTATCCAACTGGTTGAACTGGTCCAACTTGTTTTACCAACTGGTTGAACTGGTCCAACTGGTCTACCCAATAGGTCCAGTTGGTTTAACTAGTCTACCCAATAGGTCCAACTGGTTTTACCCAGTTTGGTTACAACTGATCATACAAGTTTAAACTGCTAATTAGTCTACTTAATTCATTTATTTAATATTTAACTTGTTTAGAATCTGCCTAGGACTAGTAGTAGAAAATTGTTTTATCTTAGACGAAAGCGGCTTTTCCCTTACGAAAATGACCAATTCATTTCAATTGGAAATTGAACTGGATTCAATATGAGTCAATTGGATTGTAATTGGAATTTAAATTAGATCCAGTTGGTTCCAATTGAAAAAAATCCTATTGAGATCAATTGGAT